TATCCCTCTCCCAGAGCAATCGCAAAAGACGCCCCTTTCCCCGAACATCTGCAAATGCCAAGCACAGCGAGAACCGAAAGAACGCTGACTCCCCTCCCTCCACTCCACCCACACCGAGCGTTCCCAACACCGGGCACCCTCCAACACCGACCACCTCACCAACACTCCCCGTCCCCCTACCCCGAATACCGCCCACATCCTACCACCACGGACGACCACTCACCCCCCAACCACAAACAACCCCACTGTGCAGAGCGTCAGACAGCTCTACACCATGAATAAGCCCAAAGTGAAGAGCGCTAAACCGCTCAACAGGGGCTTTGGACTCACGGTACCGTACTCACGGAATACTGTTTTGTAATAGTGCTGTATAATGCAGCACAATATCACCGCTTGGAGAAGATGGATATCCAAGGCGGGTGCTGGAGAAGGGGGAGGGGCGAGAACAGCGAGTGGAGGGGGGTGAGGCAAGGAGAGGGAAATAATGATGGAGTACCTCAAAGTTTGATGCAAAAACGCATGATCGCACCGGCTCGCCTGGTGCGTTCCAGCCTGAGTTGTTTGTTGGCTCGTGACTCGTTCTTTGTAGTCAATGCGCTAAAGTGTTTGAAACTTAAGTTTTCAAGAGACTCATAAGATTCCTCCAATTCCACTGACCCTCCTCTCTTATTCTTTTTGCAGTGCCGCCAGCTTGCTGTTGCAAAATTAGCATTAATGAGAGCAAGAAAAAGGTGCTTGAGAAAAGTGCCTTTTTTGGGAAGAGCACGACAGATCACAAATTTTTTTCCAGAAATCAAACAGTGATTTGGGAAATGTTTCTTAGCACACCTTTTGGACAGTAAAACTGCTTTAACTTTCAGAAAAATTAGAAATTAGAAATGCTAAGACGCAGTTTTGTGATGAATTGTTGCTAAAGCACTACGTCGTTCTTAAAAATGCGCTGGAAATCTCGAATCCTTCTGCGCATACCTAACTTCAGAAGCACTATGAATTCTCAGTTCTTGACAGCTGTGTATTGTGATTCTTTATGAAATATTATTAAGTACTATAGGATGCGAGCAGCCACCTGAAACTAGCAGTTTGTTCGTCTCGGATACTGTGGATCAGTACAACGATGTGAGCTTTGGCCCGCTCGGTGGCCCCGATTCGGCACCCTATGAAAGTTTGTTTATTTTCGTGTCTACCAGAAAAAATAAAAAGTTGCTCTTTATAAGAGATAAGAGCACCACAAGTATTCTTAGGGCAGAAAGTTCCAACAAAAATTATTGTCTGGCAAAACTGTTAGCGATATTACAAGCGAGCTAATGGTGGACTTGATTTATCCATTAGCATTTTTGGGGGTGCCCGTGAGATCAGGCGTTTTTAAGCAAACCTTAAGGCAATCAGATGGTTAGCAGTATGAGTAGTC